TTTTCAATTCAAAAGAGTTTAATAAATATCTCAATTGAATTAGTCTGCCCAACTTTTCATTGAGTAAGAACAATGAGTTCAAAAGTACACTCAGCTGATGTGGAAAAAGATGCTTTCTCAAGTACTATTTCTAAGATTGAAATTCTGAAGAGAAGAAAGAAAGAAGAAATAGAGAAACAACAAGTTCTTGAAATACAGAAACTTGAAAAAGTAAGTAAAATTCTTGAAAAGCAGTGTCTGAGTGAGATGAATGAAGAAGTTCTGTTAATTCTTCATGCTCAGACTAGACAACTACAGAAAGTGATCAAGTTCAAACTTGGAATTTCAAACACAGTTCAAAAAACTTTGAAAATTTCTAATACAATCACTGACTCTTCTGTTTGCTCTTCTTTCTTTTCTACTTCTTCTTCTTCTTCTTCTTTAAATCAGAAGAAAACATATGCTCAAGCAGCTGAATCTGCTGTCTCTAAACCTGCTGTCTCTAAATCTGCTATCTCAAAATCTGCTCAAAATTCTGAGAAAACTGAGAAGAATACTGCTCATACTTCTAGTGATAGAAGAGTGGAGAAAAAAATGCAAAAAGAGAAAAATCTTCAAATCTTCAGAAATAGAAGACTTATTCTCAAAGTCTCAAATCAGGGCATATTGCAGAGAAATAAGCTAAACTCAAACCTCATTTTCAGAATTAGAAATGAAATCAATCAGCAGTTCTTTTCTCAGTTAATGACTAATATTGAAGTTCAAAAACCAGTTATAGCTTCAATTAAGTCATTCTTCTTTGAAAACTCCATCATTCTGACTACAATGCCTGAATTCAGTGCTGAATTCCTTATTCAGAATGAGAATCTCTGAAAATCAGCAGTAGAATCTTTATTAAACACAACAATTCTATCTGAGAGAGATGAAAAGTGAGACAAATTCATTCTTCATGATATTCCAGTTGAAATTTTTGACTGTGAAGAAGAAATACTACTTCTCAAAAATGAATTAGAAGAATACAACTCTATTCAACTGAGAAAGAAGCCTGTATGACTAAATTCTATTGAGTTCAGACTAAGCAGAAGAAATGCCTCTGTTCTAGTATATACAAAGACAATGAAACAGTCAAAGATCTCTGAAGTAAGAGTAGCAGATTTGAAATTCACAATCATGAATACAAAGACTCAAGAATGAATCTCAAAGCTCAAACACAGTGTTCAAACTGTCAAAGATATGAACACTTTGCAATCTCCTATTTCAGAGACTCAAAATGTGCATTCTGTACTGAAGATCACAAAACTAGTGAGCATAAATGTGAAACATGCTCAAAAAGAGATGAAATATGTCAACATACTCTGCTTAAATGCTCTAATTGCAAAGAAAAACATGCATCTAGCTCAAAAGAATGTATGTTTGCTCCAAGAACTCAAAAGAACTGAAGAAAAGATGAAGCTCAGAGTAAATCTAGAACTGAAGAGAATAGTCAAGCCAGTAAACTCACAACTGCAAGCTTAAAAAGAAGAAACTCTTAACTGTCTAAGTCTTCAAACTTCAATTCTCCAGCTAAATGTAAACAGAATTTGAATCCTCAAACTTCTGTTAAGATTAGAGAATTGAGAAATGACTCTGATGATAAACTAGATATAATGCAAGCAGTTGAGATTCCTACTTTTCAGAACAGTTATAATCTACTATCTGATGATAGTGATTAGATTCTACTCTACTCTCTTAATATGAATATACAACAAAAACAACAAAAAAAGTTTAAAAACTCTTCAAAAATCACATTTATTCAAAATAATGTGGATAGAAACTCAAATTGCATTTATTCTTGTCTTCAAATTGTATTTGAATAAAAAGTTGATTTTATACTGCTTCAGGAGCTGAATTTTGATGCTGAGTAAAAATATGTCATTTCTCATTCAAGCTACTACTGCTTTTTATCTCAAAAGTCTGAGATAAAGTCAAGAGTAGTGATCTATGAAAGAAAGAGATCAAGATATCAATTTAATCTAAGATTTGATATCATGTCTGACCCTGATATTCTGGTGGGTGACATTATAGATAAAGAAAATGAGTTTGATACTATACAGCTCATAAATATCTATAATGAAAAGTCATTGAAGGAATATAACAATATCTGAACAATTGATAGAGAATTTCTGAACATAACTTCATCAAGAAACTCTATAATTACAGAAGACTTCAATGCACATCATCTCTGATGAAATTCAGAATACAAGAGAGCAGTGAGAGCTGATAATCTGATTGAATGAACCTTTGAGCATTCAATAGATTTAGTTAATAAGTCTGATCAACAAACATTCTTTAGAAAAGACATGAAACAGAAGTCTATTATAGATCTAATCTTCATGTCACAAAATCTAATGAAAAGAAGACTTGTAAACTGGTTTATTAATTCAAATGAGACATCAGGATCAGATCATGAGATTATTCAATTTAATATTGAACTGAGTGAAAAACAAATGAGTGAAAATCCTCTTCTCTCTAATCAGTATAACTTTGAAAAAGCTGATTGAAAAGCAGTTGAAAAAAGCATAAAACTGTTAAAATCTGAAAGACAGAATAAGCTATATTGGAATTCTGGTCAAGATGTCTCAAATGAAATGCTTGAGAATAGAGTGAAGCTTATTACATCTATTATTCTAATAAGTGTTAGAGATAATATTTCAAAGAGAAAATCTTCTGAGTTTTCAAAACCTTGATGAAATGAGAATATCTCATCTAAAAGGAAAGAATTAGCTACTGCTAGAAGAGATTGAAAGAATGATGTAATATCTGATGAAGAGTTCAAAGCTGTCAGAAATGAATATTTTTCAGATATTAAAAGAGCTAAAACAGACTGCTGGAATAAATTTCTTGAAGAAGCACAAGAGAAGAAAGTTTTTAAAGCTTTTAACTATACTAAAACAAGAAGTGTAGCAAAACTTCCAGCCTTAGAATATGAGTTTCAGAATGAATCATATACAGTAAACTCTTTTGAGGAAAAATGTCAAGCTTTCATGAGAATTCTCTTTCAGAACTCACCAGATTCAGATTCAGATTCAGAGGAAGAGAATATATCACTTCTCAACTACATTGATGAAAATGACTGGGAATGGCCTGATCTTACACAAGATGAATTAGAGTCAGCTATCTTCTCAAGTTCTGTTAAAACTGCTGCAGATCCTGGATTAATTAATCACTTGATTATTCAGAATATATATTCCTACTTAAAGAATGAATATTTTAAGCTCTTTTTCAATCTCTTGAAAAATGGATATCATTCTGAATGCTGGAGAGAAGCCACTGGAGGATTTTTTGTAAACCTAATAGAAAACTTCAATTTCTAAGTATATAGAGTATATCT